ATTTCATGATTTCAGTTCCTAGCCAGTTCTGGATTGACCTTTTGTCATGACATACTTTTTCTTCTTCTGGGCAGGCATAACTTTTTTATCTTCCCTCGCAAGGAGCTCCCATATGACAGTTCATCTCACGAATTTCTCTGTCAGACCACTTCACTTGACTTCCTAGCAAAACACCAGTTTGATTTCAACACGTGCTTCCATGAAGGTGACATCATTTTACCTGTAACAATTTGTTAATCTATATGCATGTCTCCTATTTGATCCAAATCATGCAGGATCAATATTAGTCATGCACTAAATATATTTTTTGTTACTAATGAGTCTGCATAAAAATCATGCATATAAACCCTAGATTGTTTGTTTATTTATGATATTTCTTTAATCTCAGGAATATCTTATTTATCCAGAGCACAAGAAGAAGAGGCTCTTCAGAAACTAAATGTACTGCATCATGATGGACTATCTGCATTTCCAAATACTTCTAAACAGGAAGAAGATGTGCAGTTAAAGAGTACTGCTGATCTTCTTTTCTCAGAGAGAATGAAGATCAGATTTAATGAGTGGCGTGATGCGATAAGCACCAACCCCAGGGTGGATAACCATAAGTTAGGAAGCAATAAATTCACCACCAACCAATTTCAGACAGTTTTCTTCAAAATGCGCCCAGCTATTATGCTTGATGGGTTTACATCACATCAATTAAAATTAATTCAACAGGTAAGTCCTGACATATCCAATGCCTTAAAATTTAGTGGTTGCTGGACAGCTAGTTTGTGTCTGTCTCATGCGTACAGTTCCGTAGTAAACGTACCTTGTGAAAATACAGCCAACGATAATTCAGTTTAGGATGATGTGTGTGGATGTGGATACCGATTGATGCTTTCTGTTGCATATTCTTCAACGTATCAGTGTCTAATGATCTTAGATGATGCTTCTTGGCATGCACTATTTCTTTTATGATCAGATAATATATTTCCGGTGCAGGTTTTAAGAAAAAACTTTAGAGACCTCATGTATGTTTCTACATTTGGTGAGGATGAAACATCAGAAAAGAGAGTAGTTTATACAGACAACAACGAAGACAGTATATTATTGATGGTAAGACAATTTTCTTGCTTCCCTATTGAAAATTGCACACGTTTCACTTTAGATTGAATGTTGCATTGTTGTTGCTTTCTGTCTATAATAAATCTGTTTTTGCTCCTGACCGCTTCTATTTTCTGGATTCACCGGTAGATTGAATGATGCACTGCTGCTTGTGAAACTTGCTCATATGTTTTTCTTTGATTAATAAAATAAGGATAAACTAAAGATAATCATGATGTGTATAATCATTACTCCAGTATTGTGAACAATACATAGTGATCTCTGTGAGATATTAGTTTTCAGTCAGTAACTAATCACTCTGATTTTATTTTAATACAGAAAGATGTGCAAGAAGATCTACTCAGAAGCAGAAAAGTAAAAGTGGAATCAGCAATAGGAATCCGCCATGTCATTGATCTTATTGCCTCAGAAAGAAAATTGATTGTTGGTCACAGTTGTTTCCTAGGTATACTGTTTTTTGCCTACAAATACTTCTATGATAAGTGACATTGCAGTTGTCTCTCCTGATGAGGTTCCTCTATATACTGAGAGGATGTTTTCCAATCATGGAAATTACCTTCCTGATGTATTGGGAGTTTCAGCCAATAGATGGCCGACTGAGTTGTTTGTTGCTTTCTTCTAACTATCTCTATTTTGCAAAACAGATATTGCACAAGTATACTCCAAATTTATTGGGCCTCTTCCCTCATCCATTAAGGATTTTGCCTTGGCTATCAACAGAATTTTCCCACATGTTGTAGATACTAGGCATCTTATGTCTGCCAGCGATGCGGTTCAGCATCTGATGAGGCAGAAAAGCAAAGCACTTTCTTCAGCCTTCTCATTATTGTGCCCTGCATTTCATTCAACTGCTGGGGAAGCATCTATCCCGGCTCCTGTGAGAATAGAAGTCGAGGCAGATGAAACAATGTATGGTTTGTCCTGGGTTGTTCATATTTTACGTGCTTCTTTACAATAGTTTACTTGCTTATGAAACAATGTATGATATGTTCCTGACCAGTGATGTTTTGACGTACTCACAATCTTTTTTAGTATACATGCTTATGCGCAAATTACAAGGGAGATGTTCAGAGTTGTACTAATTACCGTGGAATTAAGCTGATGAGCCATACAATGAAGCTATGGGAGAGAGTCATTGAGCACCGCTTAAGAAGAATGACAAGCGTGACCAAAAATCAGTTTGGTTTCATGCCTGGGAGGTCGACCATGGAAGCCATTTTCTTGGTACGACAACTTATGGAGAGATATAGGGAGCATAAGAAGGACTTGCATATGGTGTTCATTGACTTGGAGAAGGCCTATGATAAGATACCGCGGAATGTCATGTGGTGGGCCTTGGAGAAACACAAAGTCCCAGCAAAGTACATTACCCTCATCAAGGACATGTACAATAATGTTGTGACAAGTGTTCGAACAAGTGATGTCGACACCGATGACTTCCCGATTAAGATAGGACTGCATCAGGGGTCAGCTTTGAGCCCTTATCTTTTTGCATTGGTGATGGATGAGGTCACAAGGGGATATCCCATGGTGTATGCTCTTTGCGGATGATGTGGTGCTAGTTGACGATAGTCGGATGGGGGTAAATAGGAAGTTAGTTATGGAGACAAACCTTGGAATCGAAAGGGTTTAGGCTTAGTAGAACTAAAACCGAGTACATGATGTGCGGTTTCAGTACTACTAGCTGTGAGGAGGAGGAGGTTAGCCTTGATGGCCAGGTGGTACCTCGGAAGGACACCTTTCGGTATTTGGGGTCAATGTTGCAGGAGGATGGGGGTATTGATGAAGATGTGAACCATCGAATCAAAGCCGGATGGATGAAGTGGCGCCAAGCTTCTGGCATTCTCTGTGACAAGAGAGTGCCACAAAAGCTAAAAGGCAAGTTCTACAGGACGGCGGTTCGACCCGCAATGTTGTATGGCGCGGAGTGTTGGCCGACTAAAAGGCGACATGTTCAACAGTTAGGTGTGGCGGAGATGCGTATGTTGAGATGGATGTGTGGCCACACGAGGAAGGATCGAGTCCGGAATGATGATATACGAGATAGAGTTGGGGTAGCACCAATTGAGGAGAAGCTTGTCCAACATCGTTTGAGATGGTTTGGGCATATTCAGCGCAGGCCTCCAGAAGCTCCAGTGCATAGCGGACGGCTAAAGCGTGCGGAGAATGTCAAGAGAGGGCGGGGTCGACCGATTTTGACATGGGAGGAGTCCGTTAAGAGAGACCTGAAGGATTGGAGTATCGACAAAGAGCTAGCTATGGACAGGGGTGCGTGGAAGCTTGCTATCCATGTGCCAGAGCCATGAGTTGGTTGCGAGATCTTATGGGTTTCACCTCTAGCCTACCCCAACTTGCTTGGGACTAAAGGCTTTGTTGTTGTTGTTGTTGTTGTATGCTTATGCGCAAATTGCTTTTGCATGTAGAATATTGCTGTTAGCTTTCCATCTTCAGTACAGTTACTTGGTTTAGTCGAATGGTATTATTTCTGATCTTTCTCTTTTATTTGTTTCCCTAACCCTGCAGGTTATCATGCTTTGCTTCAGGTGCTAAGCATGAGGCAGGGTATGATGCATTCATGACTGGATGTGTTTTTGCGCAGTTGTGTGCCCATATTGGCGTCAAATTTGAAGACTTCACACCTAAGGAGAACCTAGAGATGAATAAGAAGCTGAAGAAGTATATCAATCTTCTGCCCCCTAGCTTTAACAGCGGGACAGTGCTTGATTTGCGTACTGGAATGGAGAGACCAGATGCATGTTATAAGCTTAGATATCCTGCTGCTGTGCATGATAACATTGTTCTCATCTGGGGATTCCAATCTGGGCTGAGCGCAAAGGATATAAAGGGCTGCATCTGCAAAGTGTTCGGCCCAGCTTCAGTAACGACAGTCTTCTCAATCGATTCCACTGCTGTTCTCATTCAGTTCAGTAAACAAGAGTCTGTAAATGATTTCTTGGATCTGAAGGCTACGTTGGAGAAGCAAGATAGTGCTATTTCAGTCTTGCACCCTCTTTCAACTATATTAGAAGGAGGCCAAACACGAGCTGCAAACTATGATACCTACAGAGACATCTGCAGCTCATCTGTAACAAAGTATTTCTTTGCTGATCAAGCTAATGCGGTCTGTTCGGCTTCAGATACTGAGCTCAGAGGTGAGAACGTAGATGCCAGTGATGCACCGGGAACAAATAGCGTTCTTGATGAAACTGCGCGTACCTTGGTAAAGCAGGCAGAAGGAACCCAGCATAGTTCCAAGAAGCAAGATGCTACTGATATTTCATGCCAAGACATCTTGGATGTGCTTCAAGATGGCAAAACTTTGTTCGGCAAACAAACCAGGAGGACATGACTAACATGGATTACTCTCTGAGTGTGGTATACTTTGCTGTGGCCTGACTGCTCTGAATAACTATTGTTTCAAAGAGGATTTGTTTTGTCGATGTATTTTTTTGATGCTATTTAGCATCCACCACTGTAACCGTGCAGTACAGAATAACCTTGTACTGATGCAGCAATGCCTTTTTTTTTCCTGATCTCAGTTACAAGTGAAGTGTGATTGTTTCATATGCCATCCTCTGTTCACTAACTGGAGAGCATTTGCTCTGCTTCTGAAGTTCATGGGTTGAAAACTAACACAACCCAGATTAGTACGCCTTCTCATAGTGGAGGGAAGTGTAAGAAGCTTCCATTCTGTTCAAGTTTTGCTAGAAATTTGCTAATGTTTGGATGGTGACTAAAACAGACCGTGACAACTTTTTTTTTTTGGTCATAGCCAAAGTTCCAGCCAATTACAGTTCACTTCTCGTACCAACATTGGCCAAATATGTACAACCAAAACCTTAACCAAAAATATTGGCAAGCCAAATTTTGATAGGATTTGGATTTGGCTTGGGCTCAAACCAAGCACGACCATCACACTAGGCTGCTTAGGAATGTTGCGCTGCGGGCGGTTGTTGGTTTCGGTTTGCTTCTTCGCCTGTTTTTTGGCCCCATTTGTCAGAGGGCGTCGGTGTGTTTCCCTTTGTGTGTATTGGCGGGGTGGCATACATGGCTCTTGTCTCCAATTCCATGAAAGAATTGAAAACCGTCTCGATGTAAATCAATTCCTTTTGTATATGTTTGTACAGAAGACAAACCAGCTTACTATTTTGGTTTAATTTTTACACTTTCGTGATCTACACCAACACCCACATTCATTATTTGTTTCCTTTCACATGTCTTCCGATATATATAAAAGAAATTGATTTCATGATCAGTGTGGAGAACCCTATGACATGATTATGTGTTTGAAATAAACACAAAAGATAAATGAGTTTCTCTTGCTATTGTTCTGTAGAACATCAGTGGCCATATATACAAACATGAATGTCTCACATATTTGAAAAAGCCTGGAATACAAATCATTTTTTTAAAATCTAGCATAGGGTTCATTTTAAATGGTTTTAGAAATTTGAAGGTTTAATATAGAAGTTCATGGTTCAAAACAGGCCGAGCACAACAAAATAGGGCCCAAAATAGACATTTTCTTTTCAAAGATATAGGAACCAACGTAGTTTTTTTTTCATTCAGTTTTGGCTTATATAAATAAAATTATAATTATTGGTGAGTTAGTCAGACCTTTTTAAAGTTTGAACCAAGATCACGTCACTTATTTATGAACGGAGGTAATATAACACTACATTGATATTGCTAAATCTAGCATGAAATATATTTTTGAGAGATATCATGAAATTATTTCATAATGTATGCTAAACTTTATTTTAAATAACACATTTGGATAGAAATTAGTTTTGTTAAAGAGATATACTTTGGCAGAAGTTGATGATCAAGTGCAACATTAATATATATGTAACATTTCCTTTGAACCCTATGGCATTTAAAATTTCTTTTGATTGTAATAAATGAATGGAGGGTAAATTCCTAAGTAGCCTAAAAAGTCCTTATTTTGAAGTCATCGCGGGCATTGTTTTTCTTTCACCCAAATGAATATAGGCAGTTATACGGTTTCAAAAGCGTGAACTTCGGATATTTTGGCACCTAAAGTTGATTTTTTTTAGAAACACAATATAGACACAAAGGCTTACAATCAAAGACACTCGCTGTTAACAAGAAAGACGCCTCCCACTTATGAGGCACCGGAGCATCAAACCTGGGATTTGATCCCTGGTGGACTAGGGTACCGCTAACCTTCTAATCATCCAACCACGTGTTGATGCTTGATGCGTAACTCAATTCTTAAATGCGCAAATTGATTCGCTTAAAGCATCCACAATCGGACTTGGCAAATCCACCCCCTATATGTCTGTGGACGCGCCCAACACGCCCGCAGACGCATCCGGATGGGCCCTCATATTTCATGCTCAGCACCTACATATTTCAAATTCGGACTCTCAAATCCATGCACATCGATCATACACGCCAATGTCTCACGTAAATAACAAATGTTGGTGCCAAAAATACATAGTGTTTACATAAAATTTATTTTAAGTGCATAACTCAAACATCAACTCTATGGTTTCTATTGTGGGTCCACATATGCTCCACAAGATCACTAAGTAGCTGCACGTGCGCATGATGATCTTGAAGATTCTAATGCATTTGTAGGAAGTTCATAAGCTGAGTTGCATCTTGATCTTCCAAGATTTGAACTTATTCTCCAGGCTCTTCAAAATCATTGGTTCGGGCAACATCATCACTCTCATCTTCGACAATCATATTGTGCAAAATAACACAACATATCATGAGCTGCCACAAAATTTCTGATTCCCACATCATTGCAGCTCCACAAACAATTCTCCAACGAGTTTGAAGCACTCCGAATGCCCTCTCCACACCCTTTCTAGCTGCTTCCTGCATTGTTGCAAAGTGGCTTTTGTTTTTTGCCTTGTGGTTCGGGTATGTTCTTCACAAACACCACCCACTGAGGATATATGCCATCGACAAGATAGTATCCCATATTGTAGTCATGGCCGTTGACAGTGTAGTTTCATGACGACGACTCCCCATTGTAAAGCCTCCTGAATACCAAAGATCATTGAAACACGTTGATGTCGTTGTGAGAACCCGATATTCCAAAGAAATGATGTCAAATCCATAAGTCATGTGATGCCACTACTTCTAGTATGCTGCGGTCTTTTTGGTGTGACATTGATACATTCCCCGCAAACCTTTGGGTAGTTCTTTCATTGCCATGTATGCAATCAATTGATCCGAGCATTCTAAAATCCCTTTGGCCTCTTCAATAGACAACAACTTTTCTGTGTCATGCACATTTGGTTCTCTCAAGTGCTTTGCTCCAAACACCTGCACCACGTCGCGGGCAAACTTGACAGTAATCTTCATGCATGTGCTCTCCCCCATCCTGACCATCTCACCGACGAAGCATCAGAATTCATCATTTTTCTTAAAAAAATCACAAAAAACTAGACCGGACAATGTGTCGAACACATAGAGCGCAAGACGGAGCCAAAGAGTTGTCGGACGCACCGCGGTGGCGTTCGGGCCGGCGGTGACGTCCCCAGCGGCGAGCACGGGAGAGAGGAGTATTGTGCTAGTGGCGGCGGCGCAGAGGCTCGGAACGGCTGCGGACAGCGCACGGCGGTGGAGCGGCAAGACGGACGTAGCAGAGAAGGAAGAAGAGAAGAGAGAGCAAATGGATCTGGTAGGACAAGGGGTTGGATTTGGTGCAATTTGAGAAGGGGTAGGGTTGTCGGGTCTGACATGACGGACGCGCCCGAACGCCCATACCTGCACCCATATTTGAGTTGGATATGAGGGATCAGTCCAGATGTTTAAGGCACTGGTCTGGGTTGAATTTTTGTGACCGACCAATGACTGGGGCCGTCCACCCAATGTAGGTGCTTTTAAGGGGGGAAAATAGCAGGTCCACAAAATATCATACTTGCAGCTTGTCCTTGAAATGTTTACCATGTGTTTGGTTTGGTACGATGATTCTTGCAGATCATGGACATTCAACCTTGTGTACTACTACCAGAATGCGTTTGGTTTCGTGTGATGAGTCGAGAATGAAGAGTCTAGACACTGTAGGGTCCTTTTATTTGACCATGTGGTGAAGAGGTCCTTTCTCGTTCTTTGAGCTCAACCAAACCAGAGTCGCCGTCCGCAGAGTTTAACCCCCAACCAACCAACCAACCAAAGCACGCACGCACGCTAAACCCCCCCTCATCGTCGCTAGCGCCTCCATGGACGCCGGCGGCGAGCTCAATGCGGCCGCCGCGGAGCCGATCGGGGCCATCCAGTACGCCCCCTCCCCCGGCGCCACCTTCGACGACGACTG